CGCTTCAGTTCCTACATTAATAATGTTATTTCAGTTGCTTTGTACGGACTTGATTTAAACAGCTACATATCTTTACAAACGTACTCAATAAGGAATGGGGTAAACATCCCAAATAGGACTCCCCTAAAAAAAATCTACGAAGTCTGTGAGGTTTTCTTCAAAGAAGGACAAAATATCAATCACAAATAATTAGAATAACATGACAGTACGTTATAATAATATAATTAAAAGGCCAATTATTTGTTTTAAATATGGGTACACACAATTCTCACCAGAAGGTTTGATTTTATTATAATACACTGTACTTTATTATATTTAAAATTCAATACCATACAAATGATACATTTCATTTGCAATACGGTATATGAAGGTCGCTTGTCTTTTAACAGAACATGTATTTGTGTTTAAATAAAAAAAATAGGGTTTGAGATGATCGTGAATAATATAGTGCACTGCATGTACTAAAGTAAACAACTATTATGTGTCAAAGTGTATTTTTGTCTCAATAATGTTTCTTGTCATGGAACGTGATTGCGCTAATTATAATAGTCACGCATCCAAAACAGACAATATCATTCTTGATTTGAAGCTTTCGTGACTGCAGGAATCCATGCTCTTTGGTTCTTTCGGTAAAGTCACGTGGTAGGTAGAAATAAAACAAAATGAATCACGACGTTTCGGACGCAACACAAGCGTCCGTCTTTAGGTAGTAGACATCGTGGTTATCGGTAGTAGACATCGTGGTTATCGGTAGTAGACATCGTGGTTATCCCGATTTTCACCTGAAGACAGGCGCTTGTGTTGCGTCCGAAACGTCGTGATTTGTTTTGTTTTATTTCTACCTATGTGACTCTACAGAAAGAACCAAAGAGTATAGACAATATCATCTTCATACTTGTGTGGAATGCTGCTTATTTTACCAACACATGTTGGTAGTGAAAGTTCGTTTTTTTATATATGCTCATCACTTTATCTGAACAACAATACTTGATATAGTTGTTGTAAGTAATCGCATTTTCATAATATCAACCCGATAAGTCATAGTCGTGCAACGAGCCCAATGCTGTGCGCCTTTGTGAGACGAGGAACACGTGTGTTTATCTGATACTGTCAAAGTGTAAGCGCTCCTTTAAAAAAAAGCACATGTTTGGCGTTTGATGTGCATTCAATTTTGTAGCCGCCTTTGAAGTTGGCTTTTGTTAAAGCAATACGGTGGTCCAGTAGTACTTAATCCGGTCCTCAGATCCTGGCTCAGGACTTTACTTCTTCCTAACCAACAGAGAGCTACTCTTTACAGTTATTGCAGAACAGCAATGAGTGAATGAAAGCACACCTTTAAGTGATGTCTCCGGTCTGCAGTATAAGACGTGAACAAAAATAACAACCCTGGACGAACAGAGTGTTTGATGATGTAATCTAATTATTTGAAGTGGTGTATTTATACATGACTTTTGTGGTCTCCATGCTTTTTAATAGGCATGCTGAAGGGCATGGTGTGAATTATTTATATTACTAATATTCAACATCCCAAGTAAATTCTATATTCGCTCTTTTTCCATAGCCAATATATGAAGGAAGTGCGACAATCTGGACATATTTTCTACATATCACTTCAGCGAATGAGGAAATTAAGTGTCCTAATTGAGGAATTTAAGTTTCTTTATGTGTTCTAGATTTGAAGTGAATATTCCTATGATCGACTGACTTTAAATGAATCAAATTAAAAGCTTATGCTTGACCTGTGAGTGGACTTTGTATTTATACAAGAACGAGGACTGATCTATATATTGTTAGTGTTGGTTAAAGATCAATCATTTTAATTTTACACGATCAATCCACTGATGGATGAAGGCTTGCTGAAGCCGTTGCCATCTCTTGCAATCCTGCGATTTGGCAATCCACCTAGCATCTGCGTACGAGCTGATTTCATTGCTCCATCTCCTAAGTTGACATCTTCGTGGATGTGTTCCGTTGCTTTTCCTGGCTGGCACTCCATCATTATCCTTGAACCATCAGCCATGATCCATCCCTTCTTGCGACTTGACCTACCCAATCACATTTAGATAAAAATGCCGTACTGCAAATCTGTGAATCTTCCAAATCACTAGGCGTGCAACGTAGAGGACAGTATAGAAAGTAGGTTTGTGAACCTGTTTGTACGGACCATTGAGAATTAATTCCTCATATGGGTGGGTTTTTTCTCTATGGGTGCAATAATTTTTTGCCACATGTAAACACTGATTAGAATGAAATTTGCCAAACATCCAAATGCAGGACCAACCTGAACAATATTTAAGCTCTAATAGTTTCATACATTGCATTAATAGAATGACCCTTTGTAAACATGCACAATATTGTTTTATTTTACACACCATGTTGCACATGTCAACAATATATTACTGTCTGTTGGCATCAGTTTGTTGTTGAGTTGGATGTATTGCCCAATGTCCTTTATCATTGTCAGACCTTTTATTGTAAAGCATCCTGGGATGTTCTGCATGAAGGGCAGTGACATAGACCAGTGGTAGCGTGTTCCTTGTTCCAAAGGTTTCGCGGTTCGTGTCGTATTACCCTTAAAAACACACCATTTGCTTCAGAGTATACGTTAAAGATCCCCGTGACCTAATTCACAACACTAGGCCATTGTGTGGCAACATAATATTTAAATAATCGCCCCCAATTCCTTTGTAAGGACCCTCCTTTAAAAGCATAGTCATGAGAATCAGTGAGGGTTTCCGAGATAAACATGAGTAACAGAAAATATCCATGAGCATCAAACATTAAACGACAGTTTCAAAGTACTGTATCTGTAACCTAGAACAGACTGTGATGCGACAGTCATATTTAGATTATAGCACAAGAAAGCAAAGGTCTGGGTATTTGAGATGGAACTGATCATTTATTTGGAATCATTTTTGTTTTGGGAAGTAGATTTGTGAAAAATGTGATCTTACATGTTTTTCATGCGCATTGCAAATAACTGCAATGGCGTTTCTACATCTGGGTGCTTTTTGTATTTGATTCTGACAGTGGATTAGACTGCCTATGGGATGATTAAAGTACCTGTTTTAATCATGTCGAAGGACACATCTGCATTTTCGAATTAAACGTTCTCCAAAGTCCTATGTCATCAGGCATTCCTGCAGTATAATCCGAGCTACCATCTGCCTGCATTCAATTCCTATTTGTGTGTTCTCTGAACCCAAAAGTATAATTTGTACTTTAAAGAGAGAAATTGGTATTTTGAAAATCAGGATTACTCAGGAGCCACATGAGACATAGCCAAACATGCTTTATGAATGCTTTGGCAGATTACCGACCCTTAGCTATCAAAATTAAACAAGTGTTAATAGAGTGCCGTGTGGAAATATTCTATATATAGCCAACTGAGTTAACCATTACATTTTTTGAGTTCGGATGACATTGCTCTGGAAAATCAATGGGTTAATAAATTCAATTTGTTTTATAAAAATGTGGAGTCACAGAATGCAGTTCTACTTGTATATATTTATCCGTTAAGTAATTCGTTTAGGTGTATTAATTGCTATATGCCCAACATAGGAGTTCATCATCCCTAATGTGGAGTGCCAGGGTGTGTTCGTAAAAAAGATCAACTGTGTTTTTTATTAAGTCCACAATTTAAAGTTGTTGCATTCATTACAGTGTGATGTCTGGTTTATCCATACATGTACTGTATTAACATTGTATCTATGGTGAGGTGGATGGCCATCCGCAATCCCATAACAAAGTGTGAGTTGGTGTGAGTGCAAGTACATTGTACATCTACAGATTTCGAACGTCTTACATTGACCATGAACACTGCTCTACAATACATTGTTTATTATTTCAGATTACTTGAGTCACAAGTTTAGCATCTCTTACATTGCCTTTAGTCACGTGGTTTAAATCGATAGCACGCACACATTACTGTTGAGTGATATGTACTTTGCTTGTGTATGCTTGGATTTTCGCTTCAAATGTTTTTACTCTATGTGTTCATGTTGATCAGTAGAGTACTCTTGAAAACTCAATGACGTGCCTGCCTTGCATCAGTAAACACCGCAGCTGATATGCAACGTAGTAATGGAGTTTCCGTTTGGCTCATGGTGAGACCTATTGGTTGTATAAACTTTATCGTTTGGAGTAATGAAGAGAAATATAGTAATTCTAACTGTGTGAAGGTCAGATGCTATTGCTATTAATTATATCTACCCAGACTTGGTTTTATATAAGCAGGTCTTAATTGCAACTGTCTGTGATCAGCGACACGGAAAATATGTTTGCCCTAAGTACACCAGATCCAGAATACCCCTCTGCTGTGAAAACAATAGTCGCGCGCCTACTCCAGTCAACCAGTGAGCCGGAACATTTTCGGTGAGAAAATTAAGCCCTGGGAAAATGAACTTGATCATTATTTTGTAATATTATCAAAGGATACCTGATGTGAAAACATCTACTGTACAGGGTGCTTCAAAAATTAACACTCCCGAGAATTTAAAACAATACCACAAGAAATGTTTTGCTGCCTCCGGGCTCTGGAGATCACCTGGAGAAGATTCCAGGCCACGTGTTGACAACGATGGCGAACAAGTGGAGACTCTTTGACTTTTTTAAGCTATTAACATACATTTGTTATCATGTTAGAGTGTATTATCCATTTTTTTCCCATAAAAAAACGATAGTCCCAGATAAGTGTTCAACATTTTTTGAAGCTTGATAGAGTACCGCGTACAACCATCACAGTCAAACAGAGGACACAATGGTAATCCTGTAGGGCCATTGCCTGAATGTGGTCTTCTCCAGGATATACTTTTCTGTTGTAACGCAGTTTGAATGACACATTCGGCGAGTCGTTTTTACCCCCCATTTGCGTTTCATGCCACTGCCAATGCAGTTCCTTTAATTCCCCAATTTAATGATATGTTATATTTAAAAACGTAATTTCTTTGTGCAAATATAAACATTGTGTTTCAATAATTGGAAATATGTTCACTTTGTAGGAACTTGCTTCCTGTGCAACACCATCATCGTCCCTGTGAAGAATGAAATTGGTGAAATCATCATGTTCATCCTTAACTTTGACGACGTGACGGAGCGGACGTCACTCAAGTCCGAAGAGGTTGTCAACCATGCAGGCGTGCAGTCCCGGATCGCCGCATGTGAGTGCTACACCTGTCCTTCTACTCCTCCTGCACCACCACCTATTTTTTTTTCCCTGTGCCTGTGTGTATAGTGAGTGTGCTGTCATAACATTTAGAGAATGGTCCATTAAGTGCAAGATCCGATGACTGACATCCACTACAAAACTCCAGTTTTCCATGTCTGTAACCCCTAGAAACACCGCACTAATTGTTACATCAAATTTAAACTGGAATATATATTTATATTGACCCCCATTATTAAAAAAAAAACCTACATTGTATTTTTCAATCAGATAATGTTCCACATATTTCTGGCTTTGCTTTTACTTTAGTGGCCACAAACGTATCTTGAATCGCACGATCTATGTCACTTTTTTCGCATGTAACTATTAAAACTCTTTTAACGCAATCAAGTTATATCCTAAAAAAAAAAAAAACTAAGAATATGAATTACTGCAGTCACGAAAGCTTTAAATCAAAATTTAAGTTATATCCTCTTTTGTTGAAGCTTCCCTTCCCGTTCCCTCTGCGCGCAGACACGGGAAAGGCGCTCCGTCTCAAGTTTCAGTCTCTGCGCACCATCGCGGCGAGCAAGCTGTCGCTCCCGCGGGAGGACCCGGACTCGGTGCTGGTGGAGGCGCCGGTGCCGCGGCACCGGCCGGGCACGAGCGGCGTGAGCAGCGGCGAGGCGCTGGCACTGCGCCGCGTGCGCTCCTCCTCGTCCCGCGACGGCTCGCTGCAGTCGCACCCCGAAGACACGCGCGTGCTCATCGACTCCTCGCCCGCCCGCTCCAACCACTCAGGCATGCCGGTCACCACCACGCCGCCGCCGCCCCCGCCCCCGGCTGCGCCTCTGTCGCTCGGTCACTCCTCCCCGAGGCACCTGGCGCACCAGCAGCTCGTGCAGCAGCACCAGCAGCTGTCTAACATGGACCGCTTGCACGTGCTGGACGTGGCGTGCTCCAACTCAAACCTGGCACACATCCGCTCCAAGGAGAGCCTGCACAGCCTGCGGAGGGCATCCTCGGCCGACGATATTGAGGCGATGCGCGGAGACTCGGAGCGGCCGTTTCGCGATCGTCACGGCACGACAGGTACCATGCGCTCCCGGGAACAGGGTGCTTTTTTGCGCCGCAGTTGTCAATATTATCGCTCCGCTGCTGTTGAAGGCCTTCCTAAGTTGTGCCGTAACACAATGCAATACCCTTGCTCCATGTCATGTGACTACGTTGGGGCATGATCTTTCCTTCACCGACATCTCCTTGGAGTGCTCTTTCCACTTTTCTTTGTCCGTCGCTGCGTCTTTCAACTGAGTTGGTTTCCAACCTGTCGAATTCTTGATGTTTGATGTCCATTTAGACTGCGGGCGTCCTGTTCCCCTACCACCCTTTGCAGCCAGTCACCATGCATCCTGGTCACTTGTCCGAAATCTTGCTGTGTCCTGTACATGACCTGACTTTCCAGCCTTGCTTCTTTGTCTATCTCTCGTATTATATTGACATTCAGATAAAACCAACGTGTTTATAGGTATGTATGTTCTCGTAATTAAAATCACAGTGTAACCCATGTACAGTAAATTTACAGTTTGTGCTTGTTGTAAAATAAGTGATTTGTGAGAAGCATGTAAAGTTGCATGGTCGTGCAATGTATTAGTATGTTTTTATGGTTATATTGTGCTTCTTTGAAACCTAATGTTCTTGCCAAGTGGACAGAGGAAGGCATATACGAGGTATGGTTTTGACTTTCTGAATTACTGTAAATAACTTACTCCATTCACATTTCCTCTCCATCTCCAAGAACAGCATCAGAATGCACAGCTTGGCACTGCATACATTGAAATTATTATCACTGCGTTCCGATATTGATTACGTGAAACTAGCCACCACAATAATCATTCAAAGTCAATTAATACTAAATAAATAAAGGTTCCTTTTCTGTATTATTGTCAAACATTTTTTTTTATCTTCTATTTAATATTAAACCCTGTTAGTTGCTTGTCCATCTACACAAACCTGGATCTCTAATCTACACAAACCTGGATCTCTAATCTACACAAACCTGGATCTCTAATCTACACAAACCTGGATCTCTAATCTACACAAACCTGGATCTCTAATCTACACAAACCTGGATCTCTAATCTACACAAACCTGGATCTCTAATCTACACAAACCTGGGTCTCTAATCTACACAAACCTGGGTCTCTAATCTACACAAACCTGGGTCTCTAATCTACACAAACCTGGATCTCTAATCTACACAAACCTGGGTCTCTAATCTACACAAACCTGGATCTCTAATCTACACAAACCTGGATCTCTAATCTATACAAACCTGGGTCTCTAATCTACACAAACCTGGGTCTCTAATCTACACAAACCTGGGTCTCTAATCTACACAAACCTGGATCTCTAATCTACACAAACCTGGATCTCTAATCTACACAAACCTGGATCTCTAATCTACACAAACCTGGGTCTCTAATCTACACAAACCTGGATCTCTAATCTACACAAACCTGGGTCTCTAATCTACACAAACCTGGATCTCTAATCTACACAAACCTGGATCTCTAATCTACACAAACCTGGATCTCTAATCTACACAAACCTGGGTCTCTAATCTACACAAACCTGGGTCTCTAATCTACACAAACCTGGATCTCTAATCTACACAAACCTGGATCTCTAATCTACACAAACCTGGATCTCTAATCTACACAAACCTGGGTCTCTAATCTACACAAACCTTGATCTCTAATCTACACAAACCTGGATCTCTAATCTACACAAACCTGGGTCTCTAATCTACACAAACCTGGATCTCTAATCTACACAATCCTGGATCTCTAATCTACACAAACCTGGATCTCTAATCTACACAAACCTGGGTCTCTAATCTACACAAACCTGGATCTCTAATCTACACAAACCTGGATCTCTAATCTACACAAACCTGGGTCTCTAATCTACACAAACCTGGGTCTCTAATCTACACAAACCTGGGTCTCTAATCTACACAAACCTGGATCTCTAATCTACACAAACCTGGATCTCTAATCTACACAAACCTGGATCTCTAATCTACACAAACCTGGGTCTCTAATCTACACAAACCTGGATCTCTAATCTACACAAACCTGGGTCTCTAATCTACACAAACCTGGATCTCTAATCTACACAAACCTGGATCTCTAATCTACACAAACCTGGATCTCTAATCTACACAAACCTGGATCTCTAATCTACACAAACCTGGGTCTCTAATCTACACAAACCTGGTTCTCTAATCTACACAAACCTGGATCTCTAATCTACACAAACCTGGATCTCTAATCTACACAAACCTGGGTCTCTAATCTACACAAACCTGGATCTCTAATCTACACAAACCTGGATCTCTAATCTACACAAACCTGGGTCTCTAATCTACACAAACCTGGATCTCTAATCTACACAATCCTGGATCTCTAATCTACACAAACCTGGATCTCTAATCTACACAAACCTGGGTCTCTAATCTACACAAACCTGGATCTCTAATCTACACAAACCTGGATCTCTAATCTACACAAACCTGGATCTCTAATCTACACAATCCTGGATCTCTAATCTACACAAACCTGGATCTCTAATCTACACAAACCTGGGTCTCTAATCTACACAAACCTGGATCTCTAATCTACACAAACCTGGATCTCTAATCTACACAAACCTGGATCTCTAATCTACACAAACCTGGATCTCTAATCTACACAAACCTGGATCTCTAATCTACACAAACCTGGATCTCTAATCTACACAAACCTGGATCTCTAATCTACACAAACCTGGATCTCTAATCTACACAATCCTGGATCTCTAATCTACACAAACCTGGATCTCTAATCTACACAAACCTGGATCTCTAATCTACACAATCCTGGATCTCTAATCTACACCGAATGTCTTTTTGGCACGACAGTTGCAAGATGTTATCTTCTTCGCCTGCTTCAATCCCGACACTGACACCGCTATATTTGGAGTTTGCATGTTCTCCCTGTGGTCGCGTGGATTTTACACTGGGACCTCTGGTTTTGTCCTCCAAATTTCGAATCAACATACGTTTAGAGTCTTTGGCTGCTATATTTGTGGCCAATTTAATTGGCCTCACCTGGTTAAATAAAAGTTTAGTTTACAGTCTTTTTTATTAAATCACCCCAGACTTAGCTTCCAAGTATGACGGTCTCTGTAACTTTGGGAGCATGGAAACACACACTGTTGTGATTTTCGTGCAAAAACGATGGTTATAGAGTAGGATAGACATCGTTTGTACATCAGGGTGTAGTTCCTAACATGCTTTCTGATAATGTCTCTAGTATCTCACTCCTGGATGCCAATCGTTTGGGCTGTTTTCTCTTCTCCTGCTTGCGAAACGAGCGCTCTACCTTGCATGTATCAGCAGGTGCTTGGGTCATTCCAAGTATAACCTTTTTGAGAAAAATATCCCGTTTAATTATTTCATTACTGTATGTCTTGTTTTAAGATCAGACTTAGCTCAGAGAGGCACATGCAAAATTGCTCATGAGCGACACATCGTTCATTATCTGTAAATGGCTTCTGGAACAGTCTCAAGTGTTCAACTTGTAGTTGTCATAAGTAATTTTCTTTGTTAAGAAAATGACTTGCGTTGCAGTGAGCTTTGTCTTACGTGATATCTTCATGCTATTCCTCAGATACTTCAAACCATATTAGGCCTGCATTTCTTAACTCCACATCCGACTCGGATCTGATGAAGTACCGGGCCATCAGCAAACTCCCACAACTCACCTTCAACTTTTCCGACTTCCGCTCCGACAAAACCGTGGTGACACCGCCCTCTTCAGAGAAGAACTTCATCCCGCCCAAAGTAAAGGAGAAGACGCACCACGTGACAGAGAAGGTCACCCAGGTACAGGGGCATAGATGCACACGGCTCTAGTTAAGCCGTTTCTCGTTTGTGATCCATCCCACTAAAGCTGCATAGGATATGAGACGTCACCTTATCTCAGCCTTTGCCATGTAGATGCATGGTTTGTTCTGAAGCCGTTGAAATTGCAGTGTGTGCTGTGACGTTTGTACACTCAGAGTACCGACATGCCCTGCCTGAAACATGTTTTTAAAGGTTTTTAAACGTGTATTGTATACGTATAAGCTATGTAGTGTATGCATTTAGGAAAGGTATTAGCTATATTTTACAAACTATATGCTAATATACAGAAATAGCAAGTGCTTACTGCTTTCTATAGAGTCGGTGTTCACAAACGCGCTTTGCGCCATTGGTCAATTTGGCTGAGCAGATCATCGTTGTCTTCATGTGCGTCTTATTTCCTCTAGACAATTGGTATGTCTGCATAGGCTTACAACCAGTGGTGTGCGCGTGTGTCATTGTGCTTTATTACTTTGTGCTGTGGATGAATGTCCATGGGAAAACACAAGTATTTTGATCATCTAGTTTAAAAGCCGATTAGGTGAGGCTGGGCACTACAGTGAGGGAAAAAAGTATTTGATCCCCTGCTGATTTTGTCCATTTGCCCACTGACAAAGAAATGATCAGTCTATAATTTTAATGGTAGGTTTATTTGAACAGTGAGAGACAGAATAACAACAAAACAATCCGGAAAAACGCATGTCAAAAATGTTATAAATTGATTTGCATTGTAATGAGGAAAAAAAGTATTTGACCCCTCTGCAAAACATGACTCAGTACTTGGTGGCAAAACCCTTGTTGGCAATCACAGAGGTCAGATGTTTCTTGTAGTTGGTCACCAGGTTTGCACACATCTCAGGAGGGATTTTGTCCCACTCCTCTTTACAGATCTTCTCCAAGTCATTAAGGTTTCGAGGCTGACGTTAGGCAACTCGAACCTTCAGCTCCCTCTACAGATTTTCTATGGGATTAAGATCTGGAGACTGACTAGGCCACTCCAGGACCTTAATGTGCTTCTTCTTGAGCCACTCCTTTGTTGCCTTGGCTGTGTGTTTTGGGTATTTGTCATGCTGGAATACCATCCATGACCCATTTTCATTGCCCTGGCTGAGGGAAGGAGGTTCTCACCCAAGATTTGACGGTACATGGCCCCGTCCATCGTTCCTTTGATGCGGTGAAGTTGTCCTGTCTCCTTAGCAGAAAAACACCCACAAAACATAATGTTTCCACCTCCATGTTTGACGGTGGGGATGGTGTTCTTGGGGTCATAGGCAGCATTCCTCCCCCTCCAAACACGACGAGTTGTGTTGATGCCAAAGAGCTCCATTTTGGTCTCATCTGACCACAACACTTTCACACAATTGTCCTCTGAATCATTCAGATGTTCATTGGCAAACTTCAGATGGGCATGTACATGTGCTTTCTTGAGCAGGGGGACCTTGCGGGCGCTGCAGGATTTCAGTCCTTCATGGCGTAGTGTGTTACCAATTGTTTTCTTGGTGACTATGGTCCCAGTTGCCTTGAGATCATTGACAAGATCCTCCCATGTAGTTCTGGGCTGATTCCTCACCGTTCTCATGATCATTGCAACTCCACGAGGTGAGATCTTGCATGGAGCCCCAGGCCGAGGGAGATTGACAGTTATTTTGTGTTTCTTCCATTTGCGAATAATCGCACCAACTGTTGTCACCTTTTCACCAAGCTGCTTGGCAATGGTCTTGTAGCCCATTTCAGCCTTGTGTAGGTCTACAATCTTGTCCCTGACATCCTTGGAGAGCTCTTTGGTCTTGGCCATGGTGGAGAGTTTGGAATCTGATTGATTGTTTCTGTGGACAGGTGTCTTTTATACAGGTAACACGCTGAGATTAGGAGCACTCCCTTAAATTTCAGCTTGTTACCTGTATAAAAGACACCTGTGAGCCAGAAATATTTCTGATTGAGAGGGGGTCAAATACTTATTTCCCTCATTAAAATGCAAATCAATTTATAAAAATTTTGACATGCGTTTTTCTTGATTTTCTTGTTGTTATTTTGTCTCTCACTGCTCAAATAAACCTACCATTAAAATTATAGACTGATCATTTCTTTGTCAGTGGGCAAACGTACAAAATCAGCAGGGGATCAAATACTTTTTTCCCTCACTGTATGTGTGTATGGTAATCTGTTACGTTTGTGTTCCTGCCCAGCGACTTTGAGGGGGGATACATTTTACATAGTAATTTGAAAACTGCTGCCTATCTCTTGTGCCTCACAATTTGAAGTTGTTTGGATACATATTATGGAATTCAAAAGGATCAATGTTTATGATATAAAAGTATTATCACTGTACCAGTTAACTGGAGAAGCATTGATTTATTTAAAAATTGTGGATAAGGTACATTTATTGTAGTTATCGTGTCAAATATCCCAACTGTCATGTGGTAATGTGACTGAACAGTTGACAATGGTTTCTAACAAGCGGTAACCCTTGTGTTGAATCATGGTAAATGTGAGGCAGGAAAGGGCATTTTCCCCATTGTTTGAATGTGACCTCATGTCTCTACATGGCCATCCATCACAAGTGAGGACTCACATTCGGTGATGATTTGTCATTGTCCTGGGTTGGATGTCAGAATGAGGATCCAAATGCGTTGGTGTGTCTCTTGGGAAATTGCTCTTTTCAGAGGTTGGATTGTTTGGTGCTTGAGAGTGCAGGTTTTCACTGACCCTGTGTACTTAATCTTTATATCTGTGCTCCATTGGCATTGTAAGACGCAGTAGGACTGTTAATACAAATAATCATAATTTCTTGGCATCTGTCAGCTGTAGTTCATTTTTGGTAGAAATGTATAAATAGGAATAGCTAAATTTCACTATTAGCATATGCCACGTATTGGCACCTTGTAGAGTGTAATCGATGGTAGTGACTCTCCACTAATTAAATCAATATGTTAATTATATATTCATTGGTTCTGGAAGATATTTATTACAACTTAACTCATCTCCAATGTTCTTATTTTTTGTCACTTGCTATTTCATACATTTTACTCAGCTAACAATATAATAATATATGATCAAGGGCAGTGGTAACATAGTGGTGAGTGCCCTGCACTCTGAACCCAGCTACCTCAGTTTATTTCCAGGTCACGGCTACCATCAGTGGCAAGTGAAATCTGAACCGGTCTTGGGTCTTCAACTCATCAACCCCCAATGGCTAGCATGGTGAAGTATGGCCAAACAACCCCCATGACTGGCATGGCAACGAGTAAACCTTCATCCAGCATTAGATTAAGGGATGTACATGTAAATTATGATCTAAATAATTAGCTAAAGTCGAACACTCGACTCGATGATACACATTTATAATACACACACTCAAGTTGTTTCAATGCTATATGCAATATTGATTTTGCGTACGAGTAGTGACTGCATGTGTCTTTGGGTGCAATTCTCTACTTTGCTAATGAAATATCCCGACACTGTAAAACATTGATTGTGTTGCTCATTATGTTAAAATAGCGAAAACACGTGCGCTACAAAAGCATAGCAAGTTAACAATGCCAGGCTATTGATAATTTTAGATTAACTCACATGTGAGCGCTCTTCTATAAAGGGAAAATTGTCCTATTGTAACTAAAGTAACAAATAATGAGGGCATATTGCTGGTTCATACAAAGACACTCTCATGGATTTTCTGCCCTTTAATTAGGATTTATAAACTAAAAGTATAATCAATGGTAGTGATTGTACAATCATTAAATCAGACTGTTAATTGCCCATTAAATGTATTCCTAATATTTGTTATTTTTAGATCTCAATCTCACGTTAAACTATTATCCCTTTCACCCGTATTGATGGCGTAGGTATGGAATGGTCCCAGAATTAAATATATTTTTTTAGATGAGCGAAACAATTCAGTTCCTTTTTAACCCGGAGAGATCCAATTGGGACGCATTTATTCCGCATCAGACACCTGAGATACAAATACAAGAGAAAATTCCACGCGCAGGGTTGTGTTGTGGGGATAGAATCCCTCGGCATCGTTCGCCCTAATGAGTAACGTGAACACGAGCGAGGAGTGCGGATGAATGGGGTGGCACGTGGGCAACTTGACACTGGATTCACATTGGGCACGTGCAACATGTCGTCGTTTAATTCATGCCCCCAACGATTGAGTCAGCCTCGCAAACAGTATATGTATGGAATGCTTATGTACAGATACTACAGAACAGTGTCAGTGCATGTGTGTGTTTTTTATATATATATAAGTTCTTGTAAATTTAGCACGCATAGGTTTTCAGTCAATCCTGATCTCCTAGGTTAGTTAGTAGGCGTGTTGAGCATTTCCTTTTTTCAAGCTTGCACCATGCACTACTTCAGCCAATTTCAGGAGGTGCAGTTCTGAAACAGTTTCTTTTAGGCTCGGTACAATGTGTTCATTTAAATTCATCAGACGCTGTGCAATTAGCAGAATAATATCACTCAAGTTGGGACTGGAGCTGTCAGAATTGCAGTGTGCATGTGGTTTTAAATATACCATTTACGTTTCGCTGAAACAAAACTTCCTTATGCCCATCAGACTCATTACAACTTCGTATAATTTCAAGCTGTGAAAATGTTCTGCTCGACACAAGTAGAGGCCGAGAACAATCCTGATTTTGCTATGAAATCCGGTACGCATGTTCAGTGTATACGGCATAGACTATAAACACTAATCGCCGTATTCCTTAATCAGCGTCCCTTCCTTTTCTTTTACTGTATGCCATTTGGGAATACTCTAATAAAAGAAATGCACATAACGGAAAACATGACAGCAGCTACTTATGGAGGTGTTGAAGGCACTGTATGCACTTCCATTACGTAATCCAGGACCATTTGTGGTCGTGTTACAGGCATGTTTCAACAAACAAAAAAACGAAATATCGCGCGAACAAGAGACCCTTTTCAAATATAAAACGAGCGAAGGGGCTCCGTTGTGCAAGCATCTCCACGAAAAGGCTGGC